TTTGTCAGACTTCCCCATCTTCCTTCAGCAACTTCTCTACGCTGCCACCTACGGACCGTCACAAGCATGACGGACCGTCATAAGCTCCGTAGGTGGTCTCTTCTGCATTTTTCGCTCAAAATCTCCGCATTCAGCTTTAGACAGATTTCCTGCAAAACAAAGAAAAACTTATATCAAAATTAGCACAAAAAGGGCTTTCGAACACACTAAACTTAAGGAAAAAGTATTAATTATACCGTGAAGCCACGGTATATCAGAGCACCCCAAGGAGATACACTCGGTCTAATAAAACCTTTGCTCAACAAATCCTGCAACTGCTCCTTCAACTCTTTCAATTCAGCCGGTGCCATATGATAAGGAGGAATGGAAATAGGCCGAGTGCCTGGCTCCACATCAATAAAAAAATCAATATCACGATCTGGGGGAAGACCTGGCAAATCGGTCGGGGATACCTCTGAAAATTCACTCACCACTGGAATAGACTCAAGCATAGGAGTCTCAACACTAGTATCTCGAATGTGTGCCAAGTAAGCTAAACATCCTCTCTGTACCAACTGACGAGCCTTAAGGAATGATATCACACCCTTACAAGGGTGACTAAGAGAACCTCTCCATTCTACTATAGGAATTCCAGGCATAGCTAAAGTGATGGTCTTGGCATGACAATTTAAAATTGCGTGGTAAGAAGATAACCAATCCATACCAAGAATCACATCAAAATCTATCATATCTAAGACCTTTAAATCTGCATGAGTGTCATACCCCATCAAAGTAACAATACATAATCGATACACCCGATCTACAACTATAGAATCCCCGACAGGAGTAGAAACACGTATCGGCAAATCAAGAGACTCACACAATATATCTAGACTAGGAGCAAAATATGTGGACACATAAGAATAAGTAGAGCCTGGATCAAATAATACAGTAGCTGGTCGATGACAAATCGGAATAATACCTGTGATAACAGCATCTGAGGCTTCAGCCTCTGGCCTACCTGGAAAAGCATAACAGTGAGAACGACCTCCATCAGATTGTGAACCTTCACGACCACAACCTCGACAAGAAGGAGAACAACCACTACCATTCTGTGCACCACCCCTAGCTGGAGGTTGTGCAGCCCTGGAAGTCGAAGCCTGAGAACCCTGATGTAAGCCACCACGTCTTATCCTAGGGCAGTCTCTCACAAAGTGTCCCATATCACCACACTCAAAATAGCCCCTACGAGACGCAGGCTGATGAGAGGAAATTGAATTACCAGAATGCCCTCCGCAAACTACAGGTTTAGAGGATGAACCCTGCGAAGTATGCACTGAGCTCGAAGAGTTATGCCCAGTGTAACCAGCCGCAGACGCTGGTATAACAGCATGAATGGCTCTGCTGGGCTGAGGGTGACAACCTCTGCCCAAGTAACCCCGACTCCTAGGAGGAGCACCACCATATTCACCTGAATAACGAGTCCTCTTGCCCTTTCGCTACTCAAATCCCATGCCAAATCATCTCCAACTCCTTAGCCGCATCTACCACTTTCTGGAATGGAACACCAGAAGCAACAACCTGAGAAACTCCTAGACGGATCGGAATAATCAGCCCCTTAACAAACCTTCTCACTCTCTCAGCCTCTGTGGGAAGTATCATCGAAGCATGCCTAGCCAAGGCATGAAATTTACCCTCATACTCTGTAACTAACATATTATTTTGCTGCAAACCCTCAAACTCGGCCCTCTTGCGCTCCCTCTCACTGCGTGGAACAAATTTAGATAGAAATACCTGAGTAAACTGAGTCCAGGATAGTGGATGGGACCCAGCTGGCCTACTACTAATATAATCCCTCCACCACTGCTTAGCAGAGCCAGTCATCTGAAACGCTGTGTAGTCAACTCCATGAGACTCTACTAATCCAAGATTATGCAACCTCTCATGGCAACTAACTATAAATTCATATGCATCCTCAGCTAAGTCACCAGTATAAGTAGAGGATTCGTTAGTCTGAACCTCCAAAATATCTTTTGCTCATTAATAGTCATAGAAGGTCTGTTTACCAAATGTGATGTCATATCTGGAAACTCCATACTATCCAAACAAGGAGCTACAGCAGAAGCTGGATGAGTCCTGGGAGTCTGAGAATCTGGAGCAACTATCGGATCTAGAGTTTGACCTCCAACACGGGTTTGTGAGCCATTAGAAGTGAAAGGCAAAGCTCCTGCCTGGGCCATCCTCTCTAGGATTCCTAACATACTAGCCAAGGTATCTTGAAGCACTGGGGGACAATAGTACTGGTTGGAGCCTGAGCTGGCCCATCCCCCTCGACACGATCTTGCACATCCCCATGAATAACCTCTGCATCAGGAGGTATGGTCCTATCACGACCCTGGGTAGCTACCGGTACTTGACCATCCATAGGTGCTGCAACACGACCCCTACCCCGACCTCGAGCTCGTCCCCTACCTCTACCTCAGATAGTGTTCCCAGAAGCAGGCACAGGAACAGGATCCTGACCACCACTTGCCGATGTACGATTCCTCGCCATCAGAGAGAGAATGAGATATCAAGATAAGAATTTCTACAAGGTCAAGTGTGCACGATAATGAATAAAAGAACAGAATATTTCCTAAATGTCCTATAGCCTCTCGAAGATAGGTATGGACGTCTTCATACCGATCCGCAAGACTCTACTAGACATTGCTCTTATACTCTTGAGATCGATGAACCTAGGGCTCTGATACCAAATTTGTCACGACCCAAATTTGCAAGTCGTGATGGCAACTATGTTCCCCAACCAATAGGTAAGCCAACCCAACATATTAACCCAACTAAACCAACAAATGAGTAAAAATACTAACACTTAGCAAGAATCTCCAACATTGAGTTCCTTATAAGTACAAAATGTGGAAGATAAAAAAATATATCACCCCAAGAATTGTTGTCTTAAGTACAAGAGCTTCTAAAATTCGATGCAAGTTTGAAACTAAATGACAAATCTAACATAAGGTATATCCTTTCTGAATACTAATAACAGAATAAATACAATATAGAGGGAGGTGTGGGCCACGGAACAGCCAAGCAGCTCACCACAACTCCAAGAACTTCAAGCTCGGACTCAATTTGTTCCGGACTCAATTTGTTCCACGAGATGTGCTCCTACTCGGAATCGAATCTGCACCACAAAGAGTGCAACAAGTGTAGTATGAGTAACGTGTACCCAGTATGTCTCATTGACCGACAACGAAGAAGTAGTGACGGGATTTATATAAGAAAATAAATTTTTAATTATACAAGTATATATATATATATATATATATATAAGTATATATATATGTGTGTATATATATATATATATATATATATATATATATATATTACACTCACCATTTAAGTTTCATCAATAAAGGAAATCAACTTTAAGTATTTTCCAAACACCTAACGAAACATATAATCATCAAGAATGAATGATGGGATGAAATGCAATGCAATATGATACCATGTAATGATATGTATCAGAATACCCAGTACTCACTCAACCGTATATACATGATACTCCTCAGAAATACATCGAGAGTTCATGACCCATGGGGACTCGCGAGGTCCATATACCGACACAGACGATCTCCTTGGTCTGTGCGGGCGATCTCAACGTACTATCATAATATCAAACAATTTTCACACGGACGGTCTCCACGTGCCCAAAGTACAATCTTAACATCTCACCATCCCAAGCACGGACGATGTAGTAGTAGTAGTAGTAGTAGTAGTAGTAGTAGTAGAACGTACTATCATAATATCAAACAATTTTCACACGGACGGTCTCCACGTGCCCAAATTACAATCTTAACATCTCACCATCCCCAGCAGCAGCAGCACCATCCCCAACAGCAGCAGCAGCAGTACTACTACTTCGAACAGTTCAAAAATGCATTTGGTGAGCGTGAAAACATGTGTATTGTATTAGATAGAAAAAACATGTGTATTGTATTAGATAGAAATGAAAGTATCATAAAGAGTGTAAGCATTGTGTACCCAAATGTACCTCATTGTGCATGCATATGGCATCTTTGGAAGAATGTATGTTCAAACTTCAAAAGGAGTAAAAACACACTAAGTGATATGTTTTAATCAATGGCAAAAGCATACAGAAAGGAAGATTTTAATAAATTAATGGCTAAGGTGGTGAAAGTTGATCATATGGTGAAGGATTACCTTGAAGATGCTGGTTATGAGAAGTGGTCAAGAGTTCATTCAATCATAAACAGAGGTAGAATGATGACTTCGAACATAGCTGAGTGTATCAATGGATGCCTTGTCGATGCACATAAGTTAACTATAATAGACTTCTTCGAGGAAGCTAGACTTCTATTTGATAGTTGGAACTATAAAAATAGAGAAATAGCGTCATATACAAAGGACACATTGGGCCAAATATTTGAGGAGATATTGATTGTAAACGCATCTAAAAGTTCAAAGATGAAGGTATTTATCAATTTCCCTAAATTTATGTTTTATATCTCAGAATCAAACTGATTTTCAATAATAAATGTTGTTTTGGAAATGATATATAAATTGTATATTACGTAATGTATCACTAACTTCTTATAATTTTAGGTTGTTCCATCATCTGAATATATTTTCTCAGTTCATGAAGCCGGATGAAGATACATTGTATGCCTTGAGAGGAAAACTTGCACATGTGGAAGGTTTCAACATGATGAGATACCTTGCGCACACGCAATTGCAGTTTTGAAGCACAAGAATGTTACAAATTTGCACCCTTATTGCTCTGATTACTACAAGCCTTATGCATTAGAAAAAATGTACGAGGTTGCAATGGTTCCAATGCCAGATAAGGAGGATTAGAACGTTCCAGACTATCTTTTAGATGAAATTGTCCAGCCACCTAGGTATAGAAGGTTGGATGGACGACCAAACAAGTGAAGAAAGAAAAATGCAGATGAGAAAATAACAGTGAACAATAATTCTTGTGGGCAATGTGGACAAGAAGGACATAACAGGAGAACTTGTACTTTCTTCCCGAAAGAGAATTGAAATAATGTTTTAAAGTAGGACATTAGTGTTCATGGTACTTATATCTATTTTTTTCTTTAGAATTTGGACTAAATAAAGTGTATTGATTACACAACTTAATTTGATGTTCAAATATATGCCTTTTGCTGGTAATTTTCTGCCAAACTTAAACTCCAAATTTGATAAATAAATCTATGGATATACTGTGAACAACATTTATTGTGTAAATGAATAAAGCATTGACTCAATACCATAATGACGATTTAAGTAAATTCAAGTGTCCCAAAACTTGACTTGTTCACTATATGTTTCGTGTATACTGCCTTATGAGTTTTAATTTTGATATATTATATTCAACAGTGGTGCGTTTTAATGTAATAGTAATTTGTGATTAGTTTGTTTATGTATATAATGTATAATATACATTCATATAATTCAAGTGGCTAATATATAAATGCAATTTGTATACGTATACATTAGAACTTATGTATCATAAACATCATTTTGTAAGTGAACGTATAAAAATACTTAAACTCAAACAATAATGAATCATACACGTTAGAACTTAAGTATCATATACTGTAAATTAACTTTCAAAAATACTTAAACTCAACAATAATAATTGTGTACCTTAACGTTATAAAGCAACTAATGTGTCTAAAACAATACCTTGAAAACACATAATGTTAATAACTAACAAACTATTGTAGTACAAATAAGCTTTTAGATAAACACCAAATATAATTGTCTTCGACAAAAAACAACATAAAAACTTGTTCATGCTGTCCCAAATTATTACTAATCTATGTTAACGATATCATCTTCAGTTGGTGTTGTGAATTAACACTTAGGCTTTGGTGGATCGTCATTCTTACTTATGTATCCACCATTGACCTTGTAGCTGTCGTATCTCCATAACCATGCTGCATATCTATTGCGTAGATAATTTGCAAGATGGCCATCAGTATCAGGTGGTATAACAAGTTGGTCACTCAAAAACTCTGCAAATGTAGCTACGTATAACCCGCAGTCCCTACAACAAAATACATAATATAAATTTGTAAAATAACTTACACATATATTGTAGACCAAAATTTAAATACTTACAGGCTATCATCTTCTTGTTGCATGATACCTTCAGCATATTCAATGTCCAAAGGAATATGTGACTCTAAAAGTATACCCGTTTGTTTGTCCTTGTATGCATCAAGAACTGACCAGTTTGTCCGCTCAGTGTTTTCAAAGAAACCACTGTCAATGAGGTAAGAAGGTAGCATCCTTGACTTTTTTATCTCCTCAAAATATGCATGTTTTCTTGTGCCCAAAGAAGAGTCATACACGCGTATCAACCTCTGATTCAATTCAACAACAGCTAACACCCAATGAAATATTTTATCATAATTAATCAGAATATAAACATCGTCCACCAGATGCCATGGTAATCCAGCTGGTATTGAAAAACCTTTCATGACGTTGATTGTTGACCTCTCATGTACTAATACAGCTCTTGCATGATCAAGGTGTTCTTGGGTACTAATATCACCATTAGCCTCATTGTTATAATACCTATCATGGGTATTGTTGATATGTGCACTGAACAAACAATTGATTGTTGTGTATCTGTATTGATCCATGCTTTGAAGTTTTATTTTTTTACGAAGGTAGTAAAATATAACATCGATGTTCTACAAAAAAAATGTAAACATAATTATACATTTGAAAAACATTTAATGAAAATAAAATAGACACTGAAAGTATCATATGCATTATTATAAATATATATTATGCATTTACATGTGAAACTACCTGATCAGTCCAACAATTTTTAGGCTGAGACATGGCATAAACCAATTCTTATTTGACGGATATGCAACGACATAATCCATCATTCAAATCCCAATGAAGATTTTCTTGATTTGTATTTATCCTCTGATGGTTTCCTATAGTATTAAGCGTAATGAAAGATGTTATTCAAAAGTGTAACAATAGTTGCAATTTAAAAATTGAAAAGATTCAGTAAAATAATATAAAACTTACTTTTTTGAATGATCTTTAAGAAGCCCTGTAGTAACCCACTCAATAAACTCATCAATAAGATATGAAGGGGCTTGGTTTGTGATCTTATTCCTTCAAATGAAAAATTTGGACGAATTACATCAGTCATGACCGCTTTTCCTTTTTCACTTAACCCAAATGA